GTGTCAAAGTAACATCCACATGGATGGCAGGACCCAAGGTTTCCCAGCAGAACATTGCCCAAAGCATCACACTGCCTCTGCCGGCTTGCCTTCTTCCCATAGTGCATCCTGGTGTCATGTATTCCCCAGGTAAGTGATTCATCAGACCAGGCCACCTTCTTCCATTGCTCCGTGGTCCAGTTCTGATGCTCACATGTCCACTGTTGGTGCTTTCGGCGGTGGACAGGGCTCAGCATGGGCACCCTGACTGGTCTGCGGCTATACAGCCCCATACGCAACAAACTGTGATGCACTGTGGATTATGACACCTTTCCATCAGAACCAGCAGTAACTTCTTGAGCAATTTGAGCTACAGTAGCTCGTCTGTTGGATCGGACCACACGGGCCAGCCTTCCCTCCCCACGTGCATCAATGAGCCTTGACCCTGATGCCGGTTCACCACTATTCCTTCCTTAAGCCACTTTTGATAGATACTGACCACTGCAGACCAGGAACACCCCACAAGAGATGCAGTTTTGGAGATGCTCTGACCTAGTCTTCTAGCAATCACAATTTGGCCCTTGTCAAACTCATTCAAATCCTTATGCTTGCCCATTTTTCCTGCTTCTAACACGTCAACTTTGAGGACAAAATGTTCACTTGCTGCCTAATATATCCCACTCACTAACAGTTGCTGTGATGAAGAGATAATCATTGTTATTCACTTCACCTGTCAGTGGTCATAATGTTATGCCTGATCGGTGTATTTTCACAATTGCAAAAGTAACATTTAGAGCATTTTAAAGTAACACAAACCCATGCCTAAAAATTACAACATTACAAACTTTTATTTGAAGCAAAAAAGCATTTGAAAATCTGAAAAAAACTACAAAGTACAAGACAAGAGCTCTTTTGGGGCTGTTTGCTCGCTGATTGGTTGAATTTTCTGTACATCATCATGTAATGTAATGTAGTTTTTCACCAATTCAGCTGTAAAATACAGTTTTCTAAATCTCTAAATAATGCAAACAGATGGCATCATCAAAAGCATATACCATCCATTACCAAACTCGGAACTCACGGTAGGTCTGTCTTTAAAGGTTTATAAGTAAACGTTTATAAGTTACCATTAAAAATTGCTGAAATCTTTTACTTCTGTAACCCAATTGTTGCACTCTATAGTCCTTGTACAGTATTTGGTAAAATATCCCGTAAAACTTGCATAGATATTTTTAATTTGTGTAACTCTTGCTGCTTAATCGTGTTTTGTATTAGCTCAGTTTAGGACCAGTGGAGGGAGAAAAACGCAATTCATACTCACCAGGCAGCAGCTTTCATTTTGAAGTGAAAGGAGACCCGGGAGCAAAGGTCAGCCTGGTTGCTGTGGATAATGCCATCTTTCTGTTGAGTAAAAACCATCTGACGCAGAAGAAGGTCATTTACAGTACACATTACTTTTCATAAATGTAGAAAATCTTGACAACTCTTGGTTTTTCCTGTTGGAGATTTATCGATACTCATACCTCTGTCATTCAGGTGTGGGAGGTGGTGGGTCAGGGTGATATGGGCTGCACCGCAGGAGGAGGTAGGAATAATATGGGTGTTTTCAGTGACGCAGGACTGGTGTTTTTTTCCAGCACAGGAGGATCTACTGACTTTGGATCAGGTGCTTCACACACAGCATTCTTGCTCTGTTAATTGTAAAGATTAAAAAGATATCCTAAGGGGAAAAAAACCTGCCATTTAAAATTAATTTCAGACAAATTAAAGTATAGTGACAATATATATATATATATTTGAGCTAAATAATATAGCAGACAATATTTTGTATTACATGTATGGTGTATATGATACATATTGTGGGGGCTTATACACTTTGGGCTGTGATGAGCAGGTATAACGTCGCAACATCACATTGGTCCTGTGCTGTTTTTGCTCCCAGTCTAACCAAGAGAAGGACAAGTGGGTCTTCTTTTTTGATGTTTAAGTTTTCTTTTGATTTTATGAAATAGGTCATTGCGCCAAAGAATCTAGGAGGAAAAGATCCTTAAAGCAAAGAGCAACAAAATGGGAACAAAGAGAGAATCTGGGTGAGTCAGTGTGTTAACGCAACATAATCTTCATAACATCACAATATCAAAAATGCTTAAAACATAACTGAAATATTATCTAGTCATGAGAGCAGGATTTAGCCTTATACAGTACAAAACATTCCCTACAAGTTCCCTATCAAGAATAAAGTTAGTAGTCTCACATTAATTTTTTTATAACCAGACAAACATTTACCAGTGTGTTCTTTTCTCTCAGAGAAGGTATATTCTGACGAGATGCAGAGATGTTGTGTGGACGGCATGAGGGAGATTGCCATGCCATATTCCTGCTACCGCCGCTCCCTCTACATCACCGAGGACTGGAGCTGCGTGTCGGCTTTCCTTTACTGTTGCGCAGAGTACAGAGGGGAGGAGCCCAGGGACTTATTTCTTCCAATGAGTGTGCAAGAGTTCGATGAAGATGATTTAGCTGACATAGAGGACATTTATGTGCGCACCAAGTTCTTTGAATCGTGGCTGTGGACTGACATCCGATTACCCAGTGTTCCCAAGTCTGATGGGTAGGAGTCTGGCCCTTGACTAAGTAGCTACAGTATCTTTACATGCACCCAAATAATCTGTTAGTAATTGGATTGATGGCTCAATCATATTTAGAAGTTATTTTAGTAAGTAAGTTCCCTTTCGATTCGGTCACTCTACATTGCTATGGGAATTACCCTTTCCTCCAATACTACTGAAGCCTTATTGAATCACGCCATTGAAACTGGCCAATGGCGTTCAAGTGCGCGGAATATGAGGGGCTCCCACTCTATATAAAGCAGCGCTTGCACGTCATCCATTCAGAATCTTTTTCTTCAGCCAACCTTCTACGAGAAGCAAGAAGCCTATCAACAAGACTACTCACCGTGATCTACATGCTGCAGCGGACAGCGCGAAATATGAGGGGCTCCCACTCTATATAAAGCAGCGCTTGTACGTCATCTATTCAGAATCTTTTTCTTTCAGCCAACCTTCTATGAGAAGCAAGAAGCCTATCAACAAGACTACTCACCGTGATCTACATGCTGCAGCGGACACGCCTTCTCTTCCCCTGCTGTGTTCCGGTGAGCTTCGGAAACAATGATGACTCGCGATTGCCTCTCCTGCGCAGAGCCAATCGAACTCTCTGATGGCCACAAGTTCTGCGTCTTCTGCCTGGGTCGCGCCCACGCAGAAGTGGCGCATGGGGGGTCGGACTGCCCCCACTGCGGAGATATGAGCCTCTGGACTCTCAAGCTCCGTGTGGCCATCGTCCAAGGCGATGAACTCGCCCAACTAGCCCTGCCGCGCTCTTCCTCTGCAGCCTCTTTCGAGCCAAGGAGGAAAGTGCCGCGAGCTTCTGATGCGAATCTGTCAGGGTCAGGTGACGAGCCCGTGCCGGCTCAGTGCCCACGTGCTCCTCACCCCCCTGCTGCAGGTCCCCTTCCAGTGCGCTTAATGACCGCTGTTCTCCGCCCCTCCCCCATCGCTCAAGATGTGGTGTCCTTCGGTGCCATGGAGGGCACTGAAGAGGAGGATGATGCCATTTCGGTGGCAGCATCTGCAAGAGAGGAGTGGTCTAACAGCCCGCTGGATTACACTGCACCCCACGGCAGCGACGCGGGGGACCTCCATCATA